GAGGAAAAGTCGGGGAATCACTAAAGTCCATGGGAGTCATCCTCTGGGCACCATGATTGCCTGTAAAAAATTCAACTCCGTCCAATAGTTTTGGGATATTTCCATCTGGATCAACCTGGTATAGCGACAGACTCATTGCTATCCCTACTGCCATGCTGCTAGCGTGGCTAAAAATCCAAACAAAGAAAAGTGACATTAAAAACGTCATCTGCTATTATCAATCGTATGTGGTAACGTACTCTAGCACTGCAAGCGGAACCATTAGTGCAGGTTTTTCTGTGCACTGGTCAGAGAGTGTGTGTGGGTCGAAGGACATCAGGCAGATGGCCTTTTCTTCCCCTCGGTCTTGAGGAGTGGGGGGGCCATGTAGGTGTGAGCGGGAATGTACAAGCACAGAGAAGTCTTTGACCAAGACAGGAGTTTTTGCTTATTAGGTCACCCATCTCTCCCCATGCCTGTGTCTGTCCTCCCCTCCCTCCCTCCCACTCTCTCCCTGTTTGTTTCTTATATATCTCTGCATGCAGCGTATCTCTTGATTCTCCACCAAGCCAATCGACAGACAAGGTAAATATTGTCAACACTCAATTACCCGTAGTGACAGGTTCAACAACGTAAGTCTACGACTGGAAGGCTGTGCTTTTAAGGTAGGCACTGCACATTGTGAGAGAGCTGCGTCTGTCTGCAGAGCTCCAGTAATGAGAGTAAATCCTAGCTATCTTATTGCTTCTCAGGGAAATCTCAGCTACAGTCTCGATTCCTTCAGATTAATATCAATGTGTAGACATGGTGTGGCGGCACAGTGGCTTTGATCCTCTGATGCTTTATCTGCACAGTTGAACTGTCTTTTCTCGTTTGCTCTGAAATCCAGCAAAGCTCTGTGTGCTATCTTTTATCATCTTCAGCTCCTTTGATTTAAAATTCACATATTGTCCAGAAAAATGTCCTTCCAGGTTGCCTTGGCTCGAGAGATGAATATGCAGATATTCTGTCCGCACTGTTCACATAATTGAGCAATTTTTAAAAGAGTTGAGCTATGATTTTTGTAGGAAACAGTCAAGAGTACATGGAGGTGAGGGTCGTAGCCATCGCAGCAAGATGAATATTGTCTGTGTCACTTTGTGGCATGTTAGTGAAATCTCTGCTGGTTTTTCAGCGTCTTTTGAAAACACGAAGCACATGCGCCTGACTGAGCAACGCCATATCCGATCAAGTCCATAAATAATGCATGTTTAAAGCTTGAGTCATGTTTTTGAAGTTTAAAGCTGGAGACAGACCCACCTAGCACTTTGGGCTGATACATGCCTGCGTGATGCTGATGTGTGCCTACCAGACAGAGATGATAGAGACATTTGCATGATATCATTTTTGTGGACATCATTTCCCTATTGTGATTTGCTTTTAATGTGACTTGCAGGATAGATTTTGAACATGTATAATATAATATTTTTTAAATATTAAGCAAGATTATAAATGCATTCCTCCGGGTACGATGATGTATGAGTTTGTCTTTATGTGAAACCCTGGTAGCTATCTGAGAAAAAGTTGAAGGAGGAGAAGAGAGATTTGAGGTCGCAGACAGCGCTGTCTGTCACTCGCTTACCTCTTCTCTCCTGAAACAAACCTCTCTCAGAGCCATCTCTCAGCTCCAGGGAATCCTCTTGGTGTTTGTCAGTGATGTGGTTGATGGTTGTCATTGTGCAACTCCATTTCACATCTTGAAGAGTCAGCTTTCCAAAGCAAACGAACAATCATACTGCCTTTCTGTCTCTTAAAGATCATTGTGTCGTGTGGAGCCTCTGCTGCCTCCTTTCCATGTTTTATTCACAAACACAGCAGTGAGGTGAATCGACTTTGTACAAAGAATATAAAGGCGTTTTAAGTGAATATTTGAGCTCAAGTGAGGTCACATGACCTCTGATTACCAGCGAAGAGAAAGAGACGGTGAGAGCAGGACAGAGTGGGAGAGAAGGGCTGATTCATAGACTCACCTACACTAACCAGAGCTGTCTGAGGAAGAAAAGGAAGGGAAGGAAGCGGAGAGATAACGGGAGACAGCAGGGAACGAGATGGTAATGATTCATGTGGAATTGGGAAAAAAAATGCATTTGGCCAATCTGGGGTGAGGTGGTCTGTAGAACAATCTAGAAAGGTGGAGAGAAGAATGAATGTGTACGGAGGAGGAGGAGGAGGAGTGAAAAGAAGGAAGGATGAAGATAAAGAAAGGAGATGAGTCCACTGCAAGTCTTTCCCTCCCTGTACCTTGGGAGTCGTTCACTCAAATGTTGACACTGCAACACAATTTCTTTCTTCCTTGTTCATTTCAGGCTCAATTTGTTTTAGACAAACCACCTGAGCTCGAGAGAGAAGCGCTCAAAGGTAAACAGTGAGTTGGTTAACCCTTTAATGATCCCACCCAGAAAAACAGCAATGAAAAAAACAATTTGTGTTTCTTAACTATGATCCTCTACCAAACAGAGATGGCTATCTACAGTCGAAGTACATTTTCAACGTGTGAAATCCTCAAGACATTTTACATATAAAGTAAATATTAGGGCTGTTACCAATGATTTTCTTTATTGATTCTTCTTTTGATTATTTTCATTATGAATCGATTAATCATTAGTCTATAAAACATCTGAAAGTTTCCATCCCAGTTTCCCAGAATTCGAGGTGATCTCTTCAGATGTCTTGTTTTGCCCGTTCAACAGTCCAAAACCCAAAGATATTCAGCTTTGAATCACCTTTATTGGCCAAGTGTGCATGCACGTGCAAGGAATTTGACTGTTTTATTTTTTGTAAAAAATGTAAAAAAACATTGAAACTGACTTAACAGCTAAAGAGACAACAAAGCTGAACAAATAAAGGAACAAAATAGACAACACTGCTATGTACAGTAGTAGTAAAAAATAGTATCTATAAGTATTATATGAATATATATGAAAAGCAACAATGATCAACAATAACGTGATAAATAAAAAGTCTATATATAATTATATAAATATATATAATATAATACAAATGGTGCAAAAAAAGACTGAATGATATAAATACATAATATAAAACAGAGAAAAGCAGAAAATCCCCACATTGGAGACGCTGGCATCAGAGATTCAAATCGACTATTGACGAATCGTCGCAGCTTGAATAAACATGAAACAATGTTAAATGCGTATAAATACAATTTTGAATTACCTATTGGTGATATAAAAACAAAAAATTCACAAGGTACAACTAGTGTTTCCACAAAATATCCCAGTAAATGGTTAAGGACTTGTGTTTTGATGACTTTATTACCAATTGAATGCTGTGTGTGTGTGTGTGTGTGTGTGTGTGTGTGTGTCTCGCCTTAGATGGATGGCTGACTGCTGCTATAAAGGTTGGAGGTTGAGCCCTCCAGCAGGGAGGAATTGGATTGACCAGTTTAAAAAAACGATGTGATAAGAGCCTTCTGACGAAGCACAAGGGAAGGTCCTGGTTATAGTGTGTGTGTGTGTGTGTGTGTGTGTGTGTTATAAGGCTGAAGGTGTTAGCTGAGAGGCCCAGCTGCTGCAGAGGTAAAGGTTGTGAAATGAACAGAAAAGATAAGAAGCCTCTGACAGCCCAGTGACCAAACACAAGATTTATCATGACCTGTGAACCGAGGAAAGCTTCTTCTGCCACTTATTGTGGCGTGTGTGTGTGCATGTGTGGGCTGCCTCCTTGAAATGCTTTCCCCCCACCGCGCCATCAAGGGGATTGCACCTCTTCAGGTCTAGCCTCACATGCCCCCTCACTCTGAAAGTCTGTGAAAAAAGAGGCTTTTTGTCAGCGTTTGTTTCTTTGAGTTTAATGGAATGGAATAATGGGATGAAACTGCTGGCGTCTCATGATTCAAGTTTTCTATCTTGCACACAGGACACAGTTATTCAATTTGACTCTGATTTGTTGACTGGACTTCTCGTGTGTGTGTGTGTGTGTGTGTGTGTGTGTGTGTGTGTGTGTGTGTG